CTTTATTCTTTATCCTCTTCAAATTCACTGCCCTCCAGATACCCCACACTACAGCACCCATAATCCCTTGCCGCTAGTTATGCTGGAAAGGGATAATCGGCCCATTATATTTTTAAAGGCACTGACTGGCTCCCACTTGGGTTTTTCTTTTCAAGAAGAGTTTATTGTGTTTTTTTTTTTAAAAGAACAATTTATACTAGTGTATGTGGAAACTCAGCTCTCGAGAAATATTTGCCAAATATTCGGGATTGTATCTGGTGACCCTGACACGATCCCGTATCCCAAAGGGAGAACAATAAAAACTTTTGTTTTTCCTTTGGAAACTGGCCCGATTTTGCAAACTAACATTTCCAACCCTTTTAAGTCAACAACAGAAACACTAAAAAAAAAAAAACCCACCCTTTCCCCCCCTTGTAATTCATTCATATAAGGCAGAGGTCTCCAAACTTGGCAACTTTTAAGACTTGTGGACTTCAACTCCCAGAATTCTTCAGCCTTCTGGGAGTTGAAATCCACAAGTCTTAAAGTTGCCAAGTTTGGGGACTTCTAATATAAGGGATTCCTCCCCTCAAAAAAGCTGGCTTTTGGTGGACTTATGGATTGTTTTGCAAAAATTAAAAGAAAAGAGCATTTTGCAAAAGTTTACAGATAGATAGATCTATTTATCATTATGTCTCTATCTCTTTATCATCTCTATCATTCTACCATTCTTTCTCTCTCATCTATATCTCTCTATCATTCTATCATTACTACCATCTATTTAATCTATCATCTATTATTATCTATCATTATGTATCTCTCTCTATCATCTACATCTATCATTCCATCATTACTATCCATCACCAATTATTCTATTATCTATATCTATCATTCAATCATTATCTCTCTCTATCTTTATAATCTATATCTATTATTCTATCATTATTATCATTCTATCATTATCTACCGTCTGAATACTTTCATTACTATCATCTATCTAATCTATCATCTCTTTATCATTAACTATCTCTAATCTCTATAAATCATTCTATCATTATTATCTATCATCTGTCTATCATTCTCTCTCATCTATATCTATCTTATCTATCATCTAATCACTTCTCTATCAGATATACTTATATCATTCTATCCATTCTCTCTCATTATCTATCTCTTTATCATCTCTATTATTCTATCATTACTATCTATCATTCTTTCATTCTATCATATATATCATTCTACCATTACTATCATCTATCTATCATCTATTATCATTCTCTCTCTCTATCATCTCTATCATTACTATCATCTGTCTATCTATCTATCTATCTATCTATCTATCTATCTATCTATCTATCTACTATCACCTATTATCATTCTCTCTCTCCCTATCTCTATCATCACTATCATTACTATCTATCTATCTATCTATCTATCTATCTATCTATCTATCTATCTATCTATCTATCTATCTATCTATCTATCTATCCTATTATCACTCTCTCCCATCATCTCTATCATTACTATCATCTATCAATCTATCACCTATTATCATTCTCTCTCCCTATCATTACTATAATTCTGTCACTACTATTCTCTCTCTCTCTCTATCATCTCTCTATCATCTATTATCATTCTCTCTCTCCCTATCTCTATCATTACTATCATTACTATCATCTATCTATCTGTCTGTCTGTCTGTCTGTCTGTCTATTATTCTCTCTCTCTCTCTCTCTCTCTCTCTCTCTCACACACACACACACACACACACACACACACACACACAGATTTATTTGGGGAGGGGCAGAGCTGTAGACACAAACACACGCCCCCCCCACACGCCCCGTTGACAGAATCACTTTGAAGAAAGTTTGCAAAGGTGAGGAAGCGGCTCACCTGCGCGGCTGTCTCGCTTAGTGAAGCAGATCTGCTCCTACCTATCGGAAGAGCGAGGCAGGAGGGAAGGAAAACACTGAACCCTCCCCCCACCCCCGACCTCCACCCCTTTTCCGTTGAAGCGTCTCCCAGCGCCTCTTTCCTCCCCGCGCCGGCTTTTTAAACGGACGGGAATGCAGCGGGGGGGATTCAAGGGGGTTTCGCCCGGGGCCGCGGCGCCGGCAGCAGCTCCGGGAAGGGGGCCGGCAGGGAGGCCGCGACGGCCGAGCAGGGCCACGCGATTTCTTTTTAGCCCTCGATGCGAGCATTTTCGCGGGGAGGGAAGAAAACCCGGGATGGAAGGCACGTGTGAAGGACATGAAATATTGCAAAGTGAAGAGTAAGTTTCCCCACACTGTGTTCCACTCTCTTCCCTTTTATTTGGGTCTCCTTCTGGGGCGGGGTTGGACTAGATGACCTCTAAGCTCCCTTCCAATTCTGTTTTAATTCTGCAAATTTATTCCAGTTTTATATTGAGGCTGAAGTACCTCTGGGAGGCTTACAGACCCGAACCACAAAGGCAACCTCCTATCAATACAATTAAAGAACAATTCAAGGCAATAAAGCTTTGGCCAGGATTCACTTGTAAAGTTTTGCATAGAGAGTCCTCGAGTTACAACCACAACTGAGCCCCAAAATTCATGTTGTTAAACTAGATGTTTGTTAAGTGAGTTGTGCCCCATTTTAGAAACCTGTCTAGTCACAGTTCTTAAGTGAATCATCATCGTGGTTAAGTTAGTAACAAGGTTGTTAAAGGGAACCTGGCTTCTCCATTGACTTGGCTTGTTGGAAGATCGCAGAAGAATGATCAAAAAGGGTCGTAACTCGCTTTTTGGCAGGGCTCTGGTATCTTTGAATGGTCGCTAAATGAACCATTGTAAGTGGAGGACTACCTGTAGTACTTTTAGCCCCAGGCAAAATTGCAGGACAAAAATAAATAAATATTTGACTCAGGATCTTTCCCCACTTTGGAGACTTGTTATGGTCCTTTGGGGTCATTGTGCTGGTCAGACAGTCTAATAGTTAGTTTCGGAATGAGAGCTGCCCCCTTAAGGGAATGCTTCATGGGAGATGTAGTTCATGTCACGTGGTCACAACTGTAATCCTGATTGGTCACTGACCACTCTGGTTGGGCTGGAGGAGTTTTGGGGCATTCTTACCTGGACCCCAGCATCGTGCTGGAGTTTTCCTTTGCTATAACGCTATAGGATGAAGATAACCATCTTTTCACACTATTGGACATTTGATGAATCTCAACACAACTCTGAGTTATACTTCGAGATGCCTAATAAAATCCAGTAAACTACCTTTGCATGGAAGCCTTTGTAGTGTTTAACTGCGGTCCCAGAAGCTTGGGGACATGAAAGTGAAACTATGGCTCTTCATCCCATAGCATTTTGCAAAGGCAGCCGCTCTCGTTCCTAACTACAGTATATACTGTCTGACCAGCAGAGTCATTCTTAATTCTGATTGTTTGGGGGCAGGTCCAAAGAACGTTCCCCCCAGGTGTTTTTTTTCCTGTGTATGGTTTAATTTAGTTTAATTTAATTTAGTTTATTGATTAGCCCATGGGCCATATCAAAGGGCAGAGTTCCAAACAAATGGTTACTAAAATCTGATTTATGAAAAAAAAAACAATTTAAAATGAGACTGAAATAAAGTACAATTCCCACCCTTGCTGGGAACGTTGGAAGCCGCCTCTTCCAGACTCCTGAAACAAATCAAGTCGGCAATCAAAAGGAAATATTGGGAGGGGGATTTTTAAAAAGGGTTTTAAGCAGTAAACAAATCTTCTGAAAAATGGATGGATGGATGAAAAAAAACCAGGACTAAAGGGCATCCTTCAGATTCACTCATATATTTTTTTTTAGTCGATGCAGTTCCAGGTCTTACTGACAGTGGCTGATGGGAGTTGGAGTACAGCTTAAATGTAACAAGATCTCTCTCCTTAATTTAGCATTTTTTCCTTTTCCTCTCTCAAACTACTTCTTCGTGAGGACCATGGAAATTTGCAAACTTAACCCCGGCAAAAGCAATTGCTAAGCTACGGAGGCCTTTGAAAATGGATTAAGAAACATTTTATTTTTTTAAAAAAAGCTTGTTTAATTCTCCTTTAAAAATCAAATTCCAGAGAGAAGAAAATGAAGGCACTTTAGAGCAATCGATGGGAATAAAGGAATTGGAGGCAGCATTTGGGATAATGTTCACCTCCGCTCTCTACGATCTTCAGCTGTTTCTCCAATCACCATCCTTTGCAAACCTCCACCAGGAGGCCAGGCCGGCCACCAATGCCACGAGCCACGCTGGACCATACGGCGGAAAAACAGTGCCTTTTGCCTGATGAAAAGCACAATTTTTTTGTGGGGGGAGGGGGGGGGAAGGTCTGTCGAATCCGTGCGAAGGCGGCCAGTGTGGAATGTCATCTCCATTCAAAGATTCCTTTGCATTGATTTAGAAACTCGGCAACCCAATCAGGAGACCGGAAAAACAACAATTGGAGGGATCCTCGGCGGATATTCACATTTTAAAGATTCTCCTCACAGTTTGAAGCGGAACCCTGAATTTTTGGCCAGGAAAATCTTTCTCTCCAGTGTCTCCTCCTGTCCTGTCCCTGTCGGAGTGTGGTTCTGTTGGCTGTGGAGGAAACTGGGGAAGGGCAAAGTCCGGCTGGGCAGAACAGGGAAGAAGTAGAACAAGGGAGAGGGAATTCAGAGGAAAACCCAGGCCCACCCCCTCTTCATCCTAGGGCACACATGGAGGAATGGAGAAGGGAGCAAGGTGACTTGCGTGGCTTACGGGGAAGGAAAGGGCCCTGATTCCTTTCATTAACGACACCTGGGAATGAGAGTTTAAAAGAGATGCATGCTGAGTATGGCAGCTTCTGGGAACAAACGTGAATTCATCTTGTTTTGATTTGGTTATCTGTGTTCCTGGCATCTTCCCAACCGTGTTGAATTACTGCCATACCTTCCCGTCTGGAATTCTTGCTCCTTCCCTGCCAAACTAATTACCTCATTTTGGCTTGAGTGGACTTATAATTACAGTTTTTGTTGACCATGTTTTGGACTTGGTTTGTTGTAGTCAAAGGCTGTTCCTGGAAGAGTTTTTCTCCAGCCAAAAGGTAACCAGGACATTGCGGGCAAAGTTGGAGCTAATAAAGGGACTCTTACTGATTATCTGACTGGGTTGCCTTTGTGCCACACCCCAGGGCATCACACCTCCATTTGGAGAATGGCACACCGGGAGAAAACAGAAGACGTTTCCTTTCCAAAGAAGACAACAAAGAGGGACCAGTTGCTTCAGCTCCCCAAAAGGCTGTCAGTAAGAGGATGGCGGAGGTCCCTTGCTCGCCACATCGGGGTACGGGCGAGGCGGATCTGGTGTATCAATAGACTGGTAGGAACTGACATCCTGGCTGACGCCAAACACACCTGCAAAGGTGAGATGAAAAGACATTTTAGTGGACAGGTCTCCCAGTCCCTTCCCAGTTTAGTGTCGATAAATGGAGAAATTATGCCCAGTTGGCTTTCCAACAGCATCACCTATAGGCCAACTTAGCTAGGTATATTTGGTTGGCCGTTTCGGTTTAGGCACCACGCAATTCTTGCAACCCCAAATGGCGTGTGGGTTGCAGGGGTGGTCTTCAGACGATTCGGACTGGTTCTGGAGAAATTTTGAGTAGTTTGGAGAACCGGCCAATCCCACCTCTGACTGGCCCCGCCAACCCCATCTGTTCTCTGCCTCCCAATTCCCAGTTGATAGGCTGGGGAGGGAATGGGGGATTTTGCAGGAATCTTCCCCTGCCACGCCCACCAAGCCACACCACACCCACCAAGTCACGCCCACAGAACTGGTAGTAAAAAATGTTTTGAATCCCACCACTGGTGGGTTAACTTTGTTTCAGCATGGCCCAAACCATTTCGTAGTTACAATCCATTGCACCGCTAAATTAACGAAATTTGACTCAGTGTAGTCTGAAAACATTGACTACATTGCAACAGAAGCCAAGCCAAAGGATGTGTGGCAAATAAAAACCTCCCAAGCAGGAGGCAGTCTATCTTAAGGAAGCTTTTTCCCCCCTGGGTCTTTGGGACACTCGTAAGCAGGTCCGGAGAGCAATGCCCAAACCAGGCTGAATTGGTTTCAAGCTCCAGAGCTCTTATCCTATATAGTAACGGTCCCATTTTGGAGAATCTGAGAAAAATATATCTGGAAGCAGCTCCGTGCCTGAACAGGGAGACTTCTGAATATTATGGGATTGTTAAAGCCCAGCAGTTGTTGGCAAGGGGTGGAGAATGATGGGACTTGTAGCCCATTCCCATGGCCACCAGATCAAATTAGGCAATTTGATGCTTAGATGGACCAAACAGGCATGGGAAAGCGTTTCTGGAGTCCCTTCCTATTTACAATTTTTGTAGGGAGCTGGAAATAGTGTGAGGCTGGGAAGGGAGGCCTAATCCTGCCCAGGTTTTCTGAGAGAGTGAAAAAGAATGCACAAACTTTTGCACCATTATTCCCCACTTAATAACTCCTCATGCTTGAGCAAACTCAAGGTTCCCACGTGTAGAAATAAGAAATACTTAGATTTGGAATGAGGAGGCAGCTGTTCACACATCTTTGCAAAATCTAATATTTAATATGGCACATTTACAGCCTCCGTGTTACGGGACAGGTACTTAAATGAAGTCCCAGTTGTGCTCCTTTGTAGCAGAGAAAAAAAAGCTGTCTTCTCAGAAGACGATTAAACTTCTGCATTCATAAAGACTTTCTTGAGGTTCAGAGGGCTTGGGGCCTCCCACTAATGGCGTTTCTAGCAGCAGGGGAAGGAGATGGAGGAGAAAGAGAAGACGGGGAGAAAAGACGAAAGAAAAAGGGAAGGTGGAAGAGAAAGAGAAG